TCCTAGAGGGCCTTTTTTTGTAAACATTGAAGTTGGCCTCTTTAGTGCGCCCCCATTCGAATAACGGAGATGGCTCCCATCCATGTTATTTCTGCAGCGTCTGAAAGGTTTTGTGTAAAATCCACACTGACAGCCGAATGAGAACGCGGCGTTGGCAAAAAAAAAAGGAACTGCGGCTTCTCCTGGATCGTTCTGGCAGTTAACAAGGCAGCCCCCAGTGATGGGAAATAACTAAGTACAAATACTTTACTGCCTACATTTGAACACATTTATTTGTAGTTTTTAGTCCTTTCTTTGTAAAAAACTAAAAATAAAAAATAAAAAGGCTTGTTACTCTTTCTCAAACTTTGCAGAGGAGGACACGACTTAAAAAAAAAGAGAAATAGAGAGAGGGAAAGTCCACGGTGGTTGAGATCTTGATTGATTAAAATCTTAGGGACTTATTCGGAAAAATAAATAGCATTAACAGCTAGCATAGAGCTAGCATTAACAACAATGACGCACGAAACAATCTTCCTCGTTCATGGCCTTGTTTGTTTTAGTCTGTTCCAAACATGATGCGTCTAATCTTAAAAGACGCATATTGGTAAAGTGTATTTTTTTCAGTTGTTACCATAAGCTTATTTATCATTTTTTTGGAAGCCAGTTCACAACATGGGCAAAGCTACGTGAACATGGTTTCATAGCATAAAAACCTGAGCCAGTGCTAGCTTGCGCTTCGATAAAAGTTGAACATTTTGGGGGGTTGCGCCAAGTTAGCACAACAGATATTGTGTACAGTAAACATGACCAAATCATTTTTACTTTTGTACCGTATTTTCCGCTCTATAAGGCGCTTCGGAGTATAAGGCGCACCTTCAATGAATGGCCTATTTTAAAATCGTTTTTATACATAGGGCGCACAGAATAGAAGCCACAATAGTGGCTGCGTTTGTGTTATGCATCCACTAGATGGAGCGACGCTAAAGGGAACACGATACAGCTTTATTTTTATAGAGCTTTCACAACCGCTGCAGCTGTAACAAAGCGCATTACAGAACATTTAAAACACTACAGCCAAGAAATCAGAATATTGATCCGTACTTAAGGCGCCTGGGATTATAAGCCGCACTGTCGGCTTTTGAGAAAATTAATGGTTTTAAGTGTGTCTTGTAGTGCGGAAAATACGGTACTGAATTGAGTCTTTTTTTACTTTTGTTAAGGTGTCAAATCAGTGCAGTGGAGTATCTGTACTTCTCCTAAAGTACAGTGTGTGAGGACCATTGCAACCTCTGGCAGCTCACAAACATTTCACGCGAGCAGGTAAAGCTTTAAAAAAAAAAACATACAAAAACATCACGCACATCTGCCTGAGGAGTTTTCGCAGCTGCTTAACGTACGCCACGATGAATATACACACAGCTGACCCGAGAACTATGCTGACACCGCCAAGATACCCCTGTAAACAAGCTCGATCTTTGTCGCACTTTCTCCCAAGCTTCTACCACACTAGTGTGACCAGCCCGGAGACGAATGTCTCAGCAAGAGTGCAAACACACATGCCTGGACTGACGCACATGTGGACAACACGGGCACTCAGGCTGTGGCTAGCTCACCTGCAAAAAAGCTTTGATCGACAATCTTAAAAGTTCCAAAGGAATTAGGACTTTGATCCGGATCCAGATTTGAGAACAAAGAGTAATAAGACCCGACAGAAGCAGGACAAATTACAACCAGATAGGATGGCTTTTCATGGCCATATGTGAGTGGATATGATAACACACCTTGATGAAACCGCCATGATTTTAACCTTGCAAGACTTTAGAGACGTGGAACACGGTGAAGACAGTAATTCAGTATTAATGAAAAGGTGGAAGGAAACCTGGTCGAGGAAACCCGCAAAGACCTAAAGCAACACTGGGAGAGACCTAAAACAACTGTCAGTAAATTACATCGATTGGGACATTGATTAACTGATCGTTAATTTCCCCGAATGTCGAGCAAAGACATGTTGCCCTAGGCATGATTAATCATGTTTTTTTCCAACATTTTTTTTTTTTTTGCAGCAACATGACATCGGCCAAGGGAAGTTAAGCTACTGTACTTCCATTATACGACGATAAACTAAGAATGGTCATAAATCTAAAAGAACCATGAGGGGGGGAAAAAAAGCAAGCCGGCTCGCCAAGAAAACGCGTGCCTCCTTAACAATCTATAATAAAAGTAGCTTGCAGCATTTTAAATCGACTCAATAACTGACCCGAATTGTCCCAACCCCAAATTTGAGAAAGTGTACCGTTTTATTAACCTTAAGGGGGAAGCTGGGCTAAATTTCAATGCAATGTTTCGAAAGACAATAGCATGTGACTTCTGATGAATTTTGACTCATTTTGACAATTCATCCAGGGTGAAATGTCAAATGCAGCAAAACAACCTACTCGGAGGGTAGGGGGGAAAAAAAAAAAGCAAAGAAAACAGGAAGCGAAAGCTGCGAGTGCTCGTGCCAGAATTAGCTTCTAGGGTTGGGCGAGATGGCCTAAAATTCATATCACGGTATAAACTGTATCCTTTCACACTAACGGTATACAGTATATCGCAATCTAATTAAAGTATTAAAGTATTTCTGAATGGATGATATAGTTCCCTAGCATAGCTGAACTGATTAAAAAAACAGATGATGTTATTTACAGAACATTTATTACAGGATTCACAAAGCCACAAATTAAAACTCAGCATTCTCGTGCGAGGACCACAATGCTGAAATTATAAATCGTTAATATACGAATACACTATTGACCTTGTTGGTTTCTCACCGTGGGTGACGTCGGCGGTTTCTGGTTTCCGGACATGTGTGCTAGCTGCGTATCGGTTGTGAAATTTTATCTCGAGACAATTCCGAATGTACCGATTAATTTGCCGCACATACTTGATCAATCACCGCTGTTAGGTGGTTCTGCCAAACATCTGTAAAAAGTGCACCGTATCACTTTTTCGGTGTTTCGTTAGTTTCCATTTCACGTTAGCTCCGCAGTTAGCATAGCTTCTCAGTAGGGGTGTGCATCTTTTCACAAACGACGATCTGATACAATTCTCGATAGTGGGGTACAATACAATTCAAGGATGTAATCATTTTAAAATGTAATGATTTGACCCAGTTTGATTGAGTGGACTCATGATTCAATTGGATATGGTCCGGCTGTAGCTTTTGTCATGTTTATTAATATGCAACACCTAGAGGTTCTCCAAAGGCCTCACTATCCAAAATAATTACATTTTAAAGAAACAACAAATCATCAGGAAAAAAAAGGACGATCTTTGAGAGATATCCAACAATCTGACTTTGAGTTTGACCACGAGGGATGGAAAATGCTCATTCGGTCCAACTGTTGCTTTACAGGTACGTATTCTCGAGTAAGGAATCATATTTGCGTTGTCTAATCTTTCCCTATAACAGAATTTCTTTATGTGGAAAACAACTATGGCATATGTCCTTTATGAACATGCAAGTATAACATGTGTAACAACACAAGCAAGAAAATGCTGTCGTTTGTTTACTCGACTGTCCATCGAGCCGCAAGCAATTTACTCTGAGCAGCATTTTAGTCACAACTCTTAAATGCTATACCTCTCACTTCCAGCATCTCCTCCAAAAAAAAACAAAAAAATAGAATACATAAAATGATGAAAGTCCAATTACTCTGCATCCACGCTGATAATCTCATTTTGGACGTGTTATCACCTCCAACCGGCATGGGGTTGGGGGGTGGGAAAAGACTGACGCCAGCAGCGAATACCAGCATTTGTGTGTGCGTGTTGTGTGTCCCAGCAGTAATAATCACTTGGCTTAGAGCAGAGCCAAACCCCTGCGGGGGCAACAACCCCCACCTTCCCCTCCCACCCCACCCCCATCCCTCCCTGTTGCACCCCTGTCTGCCTCGCCCAGGCCCTACTTTTTTTTGGGGAAGGCCCTGGGAAGTGCAGCAGGCGGGCTGTTTTAGTTTGTCTGCGAGGTACACAGACAGGACACTCTCACGGGCTTTGTCCTATCGCACACAATCAAATAAATTACAGAGCGTGACACAAAAGAAAGCCTCGCTCAACAGGAAAATCCTTTTCAGCACACGGGGGAGTGCGCTGACATGGAAGTTGATACGACTGTCAATATGTCTGGAATACGTCGGGATTATTTATTAACAGTACGGGAGGCGAGCGACTATCTCATTGGCAGCTCGGGGGGAGGAGGGGAGTACATATGTGAGAGCCCCCACCCCGCACTGTTAAAATGCCAATCATAGTTTGCTTCTCAAGGGGTCCTTTATCAAACAAAAGCACCATATTCTCACTCCTCCTGCATTTGTCTCATTTGATTTGCACAACAACACATACTTGGAGCTTTTGTAGTGGTCGCGTACAGTTTGTTTCGTCAAATATACTCCAGGATAAAGCTGGCAAACAGCACAAACAATGCAACTTTGTTTGGTATCATTTCAATTCAACCACTTGAATCACCTTGTAAAAATGATGCTACCGCAGCCACCTCTAACAGATGCTTGATTTGATTTGAATGCAAGCACATATGCAAACGTTTTGCAGCAGTCCAATATAGTATTTTGCACAAGAGGCGACAGTGAAAAGCTGAATGATGCTACCAACAGTGGCTTCATTTAATTTGAATTGCAGCTTTTTTTTGTTTGTTTTTGTTGCAGCTTCAGTAAAAATTACAGTTGGAATACAACTACAGTACTACTCACCATATCTTCACCACTCTTTTTTTTTTTTTTTTTTAATGATGCCACCACACCCAGTCATAACACTTGATTTGAATCTCAGCGCGCATTTGGACTCTGTACCAGTCCAACACTGTTGTTTTGGGCTTCAGGGAAAACAAGCCCAAAAACATGCTGAATATAGTTTCAACCTGATTGGTCCAGGTCTGTATGGGTAAATGATCAACATAAGGCCCATCAGGTTCAAAAGTTGCACTGAAGCAATCACGGTAAATGCCGCTTTTTGTTGTTTACCTTAGATTCTTTTGCTTGCTCTCCTTCTTGTTGAGAACACCCGGCACGCAGTTAGTAAGCTCGGTCCAGTCGGCGTGCAAGCCGCAGCTCCAGCCGGTGGAGAAGCGCGAGAAGAGCCAGGTCTCCTTGCGGTTGGGTCGGTAGCAGGTACACTTCTTCTGGCCCGGCCGGCAGTCGCACGGCACCTCCAGGCGGACATTCTGCACCAGGTGGCGGCCGAACGTAGTCCCGCCGGTCTTCTGGATGTGCAAGAACACGATCACGTCCTCCCCCTTGATTTGGAAGTCGACGGTCCGCTCCAGGTCGCGCACTGGGAAGAAGTACTTCTTGACGTAGTGGGGGTCCGGCGTGGGGAAGATGTCCCCCTCGTCCTCCTCGGCGAAGTAGCCGTGCGGCGAACCGAAATTGATGACCCCGGGCGCCACGTACTGATAGAGAATCAGCATAAAACATACGGATCCGACCACGATCAACAAGAATTTGCTGCTCCTCTCCACCATGTTCCTGCCCAGATGCGGTGCCCGCAATACGCTACCATTTCCCGGTGAGCGGGGCGCTCGGCTTCTTCATGCCCGCCACGGTTACCAGTACCGCCGTCGCCGAGACTCTGTTCCCAGGGGAATCAAGAGCAGCTTGCACCCCGTCGGCGAACTTGTCTCATCGTTCGCGGCGCGGTGCGTGTGAAAGACGCATTGTAAACTCCAGCAGGAAGGGGGGGGAAAAGCGAAGCCCACCCCTCCAGCCACCTCCTACTCCCACAGGCAAGCGACCCTCCCCAGGTTTACTTTACTTCGCTCGGCTGTCCAACGCATCAGGCTCTCCGCATCACCATGGAGCTGTGGTACCCGGATGAAGCGAGGACTCCCTTTGCTTTTTCAACCTCTCAATCCCCACCCCACCGCCTCTCTCTCTCTCTCTCTCTCTCTCTCTGTCATTTCATTGGCTCACAGGGAGACGGCCCCTTTTTACGTAGACAACCTGGAAAGACGCTTAAATGGAACCCTAACCATAACGACAAACAGCTCTGAAAAAAAAAAACAACCACGAATCGCGACTACATAAACACGTTATTAGAAATAATAATATAAATATTAAAAAATTAAAATAAATATATACTAATTTATTGTAAGTAAAAAAAATATATATACTGGTGTCCGCCATGCTTTTTGCTTGCGCAATGCATGATGGGCTAATAACGTCCTGGCCGCTGCCCAAGCCCCATACTGCCGCTCTGTACCGAGCAAAGAATCTTGTGGATGTAATTTTCAATCACAGAGGAATAAAAATAGTTAGGTAGTTCTCCATAGCCTTCCTGAACAAAGTTAAGAAAACAGTAGCAGCAAGAGTGTGCTCTCTTCATTTTAGCACAGTGAAGCCACCGGCGGCCATCTTGCACTGCCACTCGCTCAGCACACCTATCTTGAATTAATTGATTTCTCCAGAGCGTTTTCATATGATTTTCTGTCTCTACGGCAAAAATGGCACAGTGTGTAGCGTATGATTGTATTAAGTCTGGAAGAAGCTTTAAATCAGGGGTCATCAACATGGTGCCCATGAGCACCACGTTTCTGCTGAAGACCATGTGAGTACAGTAATTACAAATCCAATCGCACTTTGCAAACATTTCTTTGTATTTAATTTAGTGATTTGTGCAGAAAGACGAGAGAGAGCTTGCATATCACTATTGTGGTACTCATACCACACTTTTGAAAACCCCAGATTATAACATCTTGAGCCTTGTTGTTCCCGTGCTTTACTTACAGTGAAACAGCATCTGCCTTTCACACTCACCGTTAAACAGACTCACGATTATGACTTTGTGCTTCACCCCTGGGCATCACCCGAAACTTTCCTTCTCGCTGTGTCGGGAGGATGCCGAAGAAGTGGCTCGGAATATTAAGTGTGTGGGAGTTGTTTTGTGTGTGTGTGTGTTTGTGCTTTGTTCACCACCATGCGTCGCACCATAATGAGGCGCGTTGCTTAAAGAAGACAGATGTCGCTGGGTGCCTCGCCCTGTGGCTCCACTATAGAGAAATGGCAGTTAGTGTATCATCAGTAGCAGTTTATTATTGCCTTTGCATAATGATGTTTCTCATCCGGTTTGCCGCTGCTTTGGGGTTCACAGTAACTTCTGCCTGTTGGTGCTATATTTACACACGCTATCTGTCTTCCTTTCTGACAAGCAGCATTTTAAATGAAGGATAAGCATGATAATCAATTAGTAGATTAATTTGATGGCGTGCAATTGATTAATCATGTCTTGAAGCAATTGAAGCAAAAAGGAAGCGCTTGGCTGCAACCGCCGATGCCATCCGCAGCCGACTCATTTGCTGCCTCCTTTAAACAGTCCAGCGGGTGCCTTGAGATGCAACTTTAATTAGAATATCATGAAAAAGTTTATTTATTTAATATCTTATTCAAAAAGTGAAACTTGTGTCACGCATACATTAATGCCACATAGACTGATACAAAATTAAGTGTTAATTCATTTTAATTTGGATGATTATATCTGAAAACTAATTTATAAAATCACTATCTCAGAAAATTTGAATATTATGAAAGTCGTAGGCGGCACAGTGTTCGACTGGTTAGCATACGTGTCAAAGTCAAGGCACGGGGGCCACATCCGACGACCCACGTCATTTTATGTGGCCCGCGGGAGCAAATCATATGTGTCAACTATCATGATTCTTGCTGAAATCTGTACCGAAATGTCAAATTTTCATGGGTAATAATCCTGTGTGGAGTTTGCATGTTTTACCCGTGCCTGTGTGGGTTTTCTAAGGGTACTCCGGTTTCCTCCCACGTTTCAAAAACATGCGTGCTCGGTTAATGGAACACTCTAAATTGTCACGAGGTGTGAGTGTGAGCACATGTGGTCTATCTATCTATCTATCTATCTATCTATCTATCTATCTATCTATCTATCTATCTATCTATCTATCTATCTATCTATCTACCTACCTACCTACCTACCTACCTACCTACCTATCTATCTATCTATCATTTAAAAATTAAGTCTCTTTCAGCCGACACTGATCGAATAATCACTTGATCGGCGCCAATTTCCAATCATGTCGATTGGATCAGATAAAATTTGTTCTAAAAACTAATAATAAAAAGTTGAATCTCAAAAACAATCGTATAAAAACTGAACTAAAATTTAAAAAAAATGAAATAAAAACTAACTCATGAAAAATCCCAAATTTGCCTTCACCAAACATTGTTTCAACTTTGCCGTCAATCATTATATTTGCCTTTACAAAGCGTCGTTCCAGGAATGTGTTTTCACTTTGATGTGTGTAATTCTTTCCACATGTTCTGTCCTGTTTTATTTTTATTCATAAAAGAACTGGGTTTTTTTGTTTTTTGTTTTTAATCCAAGTTGAAGTGCATTTGAACTGTTTTTGACTTTTTCACCCATTTTTTTTTTCTATAGCATTTGAACTGTGCACTCGAAAGTTCATTGCAAACTCATCCCCTCAGGGTCGACCCCTCCCCCTTGTTTCGTGTGTGTAACGTTGCCCAGAACATTCCTCCATGTTTGTGTAGCCGTAGTGTACTTTTCCCTCCTGCCTTGTTATTTTTCTTGTGACAAAGTGACCTTTGAACTTGTTCCTGCCAGAGGACAAATGTTTTCATTGGGCGTGTCGGCTTTTACATTTAATTCTCTCTCACGCAGACGCGAGGGATTAAAAACCCATCGGCCGGCCGCCACCGGGGGAATTGAATTATCGTGTGTTGTTCATGATTAAGGTGGTGCTGTATTTTAAATGCTGCGCATAATCACTGCTTACTGTTGGCTGGCTGCTGAGGCACTGTTATTGATTTGTGGGGATTAGGCAGGCTTGATAAATATGTTGTAAAAATGTTTCCGATGAATTCAAAGATCATGGTTGGAGAACAACGAAACAAAAACTTGCACAGGGAACAACTTTCAAGTTAGTGAAAAGTGGCTTTTTAAAGGGGATTAGAGTATGATAGCAAATTGACTTTTTCCGGTCTTTGGCGTCCACCTCTTCAGATCGGGAAGAAATGGTCAAGTAAGGTGAATTTACAGGTTTGCAAATGACAATATTCAAAATTTTTTTTAGGCCCGTATTCATTTTTTATATTCACCGAAAAACTTTTCTGCTCAGGCCAAAACTCTGTTTCATATAAAAATATTGCTTTTGAACCATTTTGTGTTCGGGGAACTACATCGACGTGAGGAAAGGAGCTTCTTTTAGTAAGGCCACAGCCTTGTCATCAAAGAAAGTGCTTTGCAGCCATTTTGTGGCATCTGTCCACCAGCCAAATTAATTGACCGAAATTAGATCTTTAAAAAAAAAAGGAAAATTGGCTGATTTTTGTTTGTTTGTTTGTTTGTTTGTAACACATTTAAGTGTGCCCCTAAAAGCTATTGGCAAAACACATCCGATATTTTTCCTCTCTGTTTTACAGTTAATCAAATGCTTGTAATTCATTTTCTTTATTTATTGTTGCAAGCGTTCAGGGATCCAAAAAAAATGAGTTATAGTTTTCATTATGTTTCTCAATGAATTGGCCAATTAATCGGGTAACAGAATTTTATTCCACCAAATATCAGAATCAGCATCGGTGTAAAAAAAGAAAAAAAAATTCAAATTGGTCTGATATCCTCTATGACTATCAACAATCACATTCAACTGCAGATTTCCACAATAGAGAACAAGATCTGGTCCACCGCCCCCCCCCCCAAAAAAAAAATCTGCAATGAACCATGATACCATAACAAGGGAAGGCTGAATAGAAATATAAATACATGTGGTTTTAGATCTCTAAAGTAATCAAATAAATGTGGGAAATGCAGCATGGCATGATGCAGTGCTCGCTATCATTTTTCTTTGCCTGGGGAACGGCGAGCATCTCCAAAGGCAAGCGGACTCGAATAACCAAAGCCCTTTGTTTGAACAGCGTGCAATCGGATCTCGCGGCTCCTTGGACGACGAAGGCAGGCTAATGGAAGTCGCCTCACATTCTCTTTCTTGCCTGTCCTCCTTTTTTTTTTTCTTCTTCTTTTTCTTTCTCCCTTTTTCTTTTTCACCTGCCTCCTTTGCCAGCCAACGGAAGCCTCGAGGCATCAGCTTCTACCGCGGAGACATCCACAAACGCCACAAAAGACATCGTAATTACGGCTCTATTGTGGCTTCTGCCATCGGAATTTGAGCTTTTTCTCTCATCCCGCCACCCTTTTCTGCCCTCCAGCTCAACTTCCGCGTCAGGTCACTCGCCCCCTATTGGCGCGACTTGTTGGAAAATACAATATTGTTCCATGGATAGCTCCGGGATCCGGCTTGACGACTGTCTCCCTGCCATTAGTAGATAATAGATAGAGGCATGACACGAGATCGTGTTTCATGAGAGCGTGCAATGTGCGACGAGATAAAGCGCGTCTTCAACATGTTATTTATTTATTTATTTTTCCCCCCGTGGGATTTATTCCCTTTCAGAAATGTTCATTTCCAAGTGGAGTGTACATTCACAGTCAGGATGGACTAATTGGTTTGGATTGTGAAATAAGAAATAAGTTAGAGATTTGTTAGAGATGCCTTCCAGACCCAGCAACAAGATATGCAAATCTCATAGAGGAGATGTAATTAAAAAAAAAAACTAGTCCACAATGGTGGCGAGCTGGTGTTCCAGTGATTAGCGCGTCGACCTCACAGAGCAGAGGTACTGGGTTCGATTCCAGCTCCGGCCTCCCTGTGTGGAGTTTGCATGTTCTCCCCGGGCCTGCGTGGGTTTTCTCCGGGTACTCTGGTTTCCTCCCACATTCCAAAAAATGTGCATGGCACGCTAATGGAACACTCCATATTGTCCTGAGGTGTGATTGTGAGTGCAAATGGTTCCTTGTCCATCTTTGCCTTGCGATTGGCCG